TTTTTTTTTGGCTTTGCAGTACAGTACCGTGAGATTTTTACTCCCGTGGTGAGAGGAAATGTTGATATCTGTTCACCCGGCAGCACGTTATTATCATTGACATGTTTCCAGGTTTTTTAATTCTTTCGGAAAGGCCCGCGCTATTTGCTAGGATTCTCTATACAGGCGACTAGAATGAGAATTGCAATTGTGCTCAGGAGAGCAGGAGGAAAGTTTTGGAAAACTTGCGGATGTCTGCTAATGACTGTTGTTTCGGGCGCTCTCGCCGGGGATACACGCGTTAGCGAAACAAGATGCTCCTTAAGAACGAGTGTTAAAGTCGAGGGAAGAATATTTGATTCTTGGCTCGAGTTTCGACTCCCTTCCGCGATAGTCTTTGAGCTCCATCCTCCGGTAGATTTTGGCTCGGCTATTAGCGGAGTGTAGGCACAGTGTACTCTTTTTAGAAGTGCAAGAGCGCCATCTAGTGTTAATGCTCATTTAAACCATTGGGACCACCCAAAGCCTGACAGCCAAAATATTTCGCATACAGTAGAACTGCCCAGGTCCACTAGAGGTTGTCACTGCTGGAACTAGACTGCCTTAAGCGTTTGAAGGCACAGACGGGTTTTCCGCAGAATACGTTTGAATTTGGGAATATGGGTGTGATCCCAAGACCAAATCCCTGGTATTACTGTACATATAGTTTTGCTATATGTACGAATTCTTTAAACGACGTTTACTTTTTTGTTGTCCTTGTTTCCAGTTTTGCGCAAATGAGAACGTTGTTCTGTTTTGAAAATCGATGTAAATAGACTGCTGTCGGCTGTAGTATAATGTTGCTTAGGGGCACCAGAGTCCAGACCGAAGGTTTAGGGGGTTGAAATAGCTCCCGAGATTTTCAGCTTTTTCCAAAGATAAAGGAGCTGCATCTCAAGAAAATTGCTCTATTGCTGACTCTCCATGTGATTGTCTCCATGTCACCAGCAGCCATGTCACCCTGCAACTCACAACTGGAAACCCACTGGTTTTTCTTCCCAATCATGGCCTCCTAATAATACCTGTCTATGAATTGGCTACATAACTCTGCTCTCCTCCCCACTGATAGCTGGTGTGCGGTGAGTGTTCTGGTGCTATATCACTCTGCGACTCACAACTGGCAGCCCACTGAAGCTAAGCAAGAGTGAGCCTGGTCAGTACCTGGATGGGAGACCTCCTGGGAAGAGGTGTTAGTGGGGCCAGCAGGGGGTGCTCACCCTGTGGTCCATGTAGGTCCTAATAATAATATGGAAGAAGCCAATTAGGGCTTTTTTTCTCAAAAAAAGTGGCCATTGACCCTTACCAATCATGGCCTCCTAATAATCCCCATCTATGAACTGGCCACATCACTCTGCTCTCCTGAGTGTTCTGGTGCACTATGGCTGCCGTCACATCACATGGGCAAGTGTTGCTGCTGGAAGAGGGTCCTAATACCCCAGTATAGTTAGCCTCTCAAAAAAGTATAGTATAGTTCTCAAAAAAAGTGGTTGGGTAAGTGTGCCCATAAACATGACAATGAAGATAACATAACAACAGGAACGATCATTGGTTTGTTCAGAAACCTGCATTTGACTAACTGCTCAGATAACGTTTCTGGCTGCAGGAAGGAGCTTTCCTCATTCATCATTCTCATTCTCAATAATCATAAATAAGTAGGGATGGGAATATTGAACCTGCGATTTATTTATCATAGCTGAACACTTCATGTTTGTGTAAACTTTATGTACAGGCACAAGTAAAGTCTTACTCCCTGCTAAAAACAGAAGAAAAGAAACACAACGTTTCGGCTGTGGAGCCTTCTTCGGGTGAGAGCCTTTTTCAGCAGGGGGATAAACCTGTACTTGTTCCTTTGCAGCCCACGCATGCTGGCGCAGGTGCCTACTTGAACAACTTAATACACGTGTTCATAGCGAACAGCAAAAAAAAATGGAATAGAATGAAAGAAAGGGTACTCCTTTCCATCCAAATTTTAATTGTGCATGTTACCACACAAGAAGAACGCTGTGGCCAGAAATAGGGAGTCACGCAGATGAAGCCCGAGTCTCCTCCCGTCAGCTGTTTTTATCCCCCACACGCAAGCGTGACGTCAGGGACAACACCCCCGACCCGCCTCCCTGACGTCATTAGCTTCCTGTACGGATTTTGCGCACTGCGAAGCTCCGAGCGAGAATTAGCCGGCTGGGAGCTAGCGTTGGGGGGCTGTCGCACATTTCCTATCGGGGGTAATTCAAACAATAAATCCCCTCGAACGAAAGTCAGCAGCCGACGATGACACCCTGACGATGGCCCAGAAAGATACGTTTTTGCATCTGTTTGCTGGAGGGTGAGTTCTTTTGTTCATTTCTCACGATTCTTAGCTGAACGCGAAAGATGATGAAATTGTATCTGACGTTGGTCTCCTGTTCTTGGTGAACTCAGGGGTGTCGCGGTGGCCGTCTGAGCAATTAAAGTTTTTTTTTTAAATAAACAACGGCACAGAGCTGCGATCCGAGTATTTATGAAACCTTTCAGCACAGCGCATTCGTGTGGACTTGGCCGTGAGGTTTTAAAGGCGACAAGGCACGTCTTGCTTGTGGCTCTGACATATTGGAATTGTTTAACCTTGTAAAACTGAAAATGACATTTGAGTGCGTCTGTACCGGGTTGGCGGAACTTTGTGCGGTGCATTTCTGTGAGAGAGGCGGCGGGTTAAGATGTTTTCAGACAGATGAAGTCTCGAAGGGTTGTTTGGGACCGACGTGTTGGATGTTTTAAGTTACTTTGAACAGAATGTTTATATCTTGAATTTCAGCTGTAGTGTGGAGCGGGAGATTGGCACGTGAATGCAGCGTGGTGTAGTATTTTATCAGGAGGGACGGTATGGTGTCTTCTCTTCAAATGATGCGAGTTAGATTAGAAAACAAGAGGTTTCAGGCAAATTTAACAGCTGTCCCACAGCAGCGGTCTTTAAATGATGTAGTCCAACAGTTGAAAGTATTGCACAGAGTCCAGAGTGGTTCAGGCCTCTGAGCTATTGCTTATAGACGCCTGGTTTATCGTTATGCAACCTCATGAGTGCGTTTCATGAACAGATCTGCTGAAAGGTGAAAGATGTTGTTCCTTCGGGTTTGTTAAGGACACGTATACGAAGGCTCGAATGCTCTTCGGTTTGGTTTCATGTTGTTTGTGCTGGAAGTCTTTTTGTTTTTACTGAAAATTAATTCATATTATGCCTTCAAACAAGCTCGCACGGTATTTAAAGGTATAGCATGGAAAGGCACGATTCTGCGTGCTAAAACTGGATAGAGGACTACTCGACCCCGATATTCAAGTTTTGCAGTTCTACATTGTGAGCAGTCTGTACGCGACGCGATCACTGAATTAATTAATTGCATTTACATAGCTGTTTACATATGGGGAAAAGACTTCATCCAAATGACTTCAGTGGGCACAGTGCCGATGGAGAACTCATGCATTGCTGTTTTTTTCTTTTCTATAGTTTATTTTCGGAATTTCGATTTCGTTTTTAAATAAGCCTCCTGTTCTTTCCCCTCCCCTGCAACCTTTATTAACCTATTTATTAAAAGCGCCGGGTTTGGTCACAAGATCGGGGACCCGGTAGTTCAGGGAGGGCATACTAAATTTAACAAACAGGACATGGCAGGGATGCACGTCTTTAAAAGGTGCTGATCGCTTCGTGTGAAACACGTACTCCAGTCTGCACGTACTCTGAGCCCCAGTTCTCAGGTAACGGGGGAGCTGGCAACATCTAGCATGAAATGAACTGCCAGGCGCTTAGATTATAGCCTGTGCAGGTGTCCTGCAGCCTTCAATGCATGTCGTGGCCCCTTTGATGATCCCCGGGCTGTCTTCGGGGGTGCACCCGGTGGTCCCCCTCCTTGTCCTTTTCCATCGACGCAATTGATCAGCCAAGCGAACACAGGTTCTAGGAGTCAAACGCACACGACAGGTCGTAGCCAAAAATTAAAAATCGACGAAGTGCCGTCTGGTGTGACGCGGGCCTGGCTGCCGGTGGTCTCTCCCTGCAGAAGCCAATCATTAACCGCGCTGATACTGGGAGACAGCGCCTCGGCCCCGGCAGCTGGGAAGCCGGCTGCTGCCTTTTTTTTTATTATTTTGCGGTGGTTCAACCAGCAAATCGAAAGGCGGCACACCTCCTCCCGTCCGGATCAGGAGATCAGCAGTCAGTCGTACCGCCTCTCTTGCAGGTTATGCAGAGGCTAGTTTCTGATGAAGGATAAGGTTGACACGCTTGTTGGATGCCTGTAAGACTGTTATGTTTTTCACTCTTTCTTTTCCTCCGGGAGCCCGGAATAATTGAAGGAATAAGTTCCTTATCTACCCCTCATGAAGTACAAACTAAAATAGTCTTCATCGTTTCTTAATGTGGAAAATTTTCCTTTTTGCCTGTCCCACGCTTTCGTGCTGTTACAGCCAGTGACAAAACGGCGTTGCTGTAGGAGGCCTTGGTTTTCTATGATTAGTCTTTTTTTTTACCTGTTTTTAAGGTACTTTTAGGGGTTAAACTTTGTCTTGCATGGGGAGTTGCTCGCAGGAAACTGCAGTGTTGATGTTCTCAAACGGGTAAATATTTAACAAACCAATGTAACAAACACTACAGATAAAAAAATCATAGTGTAATAATGAAAGGCTAGACTGTCCAAACTGGACATGAGTTTAATTAATGAAAAAAAGATAATAAAATGATAATCACTTTAGAAATCCTTTAGTACTATTAAAAGAGATTTCCTCTCTTTGCCCCCTGGAATGAACGTCCTTGGCCAGGCTGTGCTTCGCTGTGGGTGTGGTCTTTATTTTTTTGCCAGCAGCCATATCACCCTGCAACTCACAGCTGGCAGCCCACTGGAGCTCAGCAGGTGTGAGCCTGGCCAGTACCTGGATGGGAGACTCCTGGGAAAAACTAAGGTTGCTGCTAGAAGAGGTGTTAGTGGGGCCAGCAGGGGGCGCTCACCCTGCAGTCCATGTGGGTCCTAATGCCCCAGTATAGTGACGGGGACACTATACTGTAAACAGGCGCCGTCCTTCGGCTGAGACGTAAAACCGAGGTTCTGACTCTCTTTGGTCATTAAAAATCCCAGGGCGTTTCTCGAAAAGAGTAGGGGTGTAACCCCAGTGTCTTGGCTAAATTTCCAATCGGCCTCCTAATAACCCCCATCTATGAATTGGCTCCATCACTCTGCTCTCCTCCCCACTGATAGCTGATGTGTGGGGAGCATTCTGGCGCACTATGGCTGCCGTCACATCATCCAGGTGGGGCTGCACATTGGGGGTGGAGGAGAGGAGTCCCCATTACCTGTAAAGCGCTTTGAGTGGAGTGTCCAGAAAAGCGCTATATAAATGTGAGGAATTATAATTTATTGGTTCGTTTCGCCCGGTGCGTTCCAGTCGGTTCACGCAAGCCCCTCTCTGCAGGTGTAACGCCCTGTTGCACCACATGGCTGCTGCTCTCCCGCGGCCGCTGACCCTGTGACCTGTGACCTGTGACCTGTGACCTGTGACCCTGCGGTGGTGATCCGGCCTGCGTCAGGAGGAACTTTCTGTTTGTTCTGAGTGAACCTCAGAGCAGCTAGACAAACAGACGCAGGTTTTGAGAGGATTGTCCGTAAACACTTTTTTTAAAAAAAAAAACAACCTTAAATGTGAACTTTAATCCCTGTGATGAAGTGTGCGGGCTTTTAAAGTTAACTTTTGGGGGGAGGATAACATCGGTCACTGAGAAACAAAGAAGCAAAGTGGAGATTAAGCCTAAAGGCTTGTGCTGTGTAACTCTTTCTCTCCATACTCACTGTAATAATGCTGTCTTTGCCATGAGGCATCGAGGACAGTAGGATAAGGAGCTTCTTTCAATATCTAATGCTTTTGCAGAACAACTAGAGTAAACGTTAAAACACCTTTTTACTTAACCAGCCCTTGAAGCGTCTGACATCCCAGATGATGGTCCTGTTGTGAAGCCCAGCACTTCTGACCTGCCTGTGCTGTGCATTAGGGCTCCCCTCTTACTGCTGCAGGTCACTCCATTCGTTCTTGATGATTTAAACAACTGGGGTGTGAAACAAAGCTGAGCTTCACTAAAGAAACTCGCAGTGGAAACGGGCTCCAGGAATACGGTTCAGCTGACAGAAAGGGGTGTGAAAGAGTCATGTCCCTTGATTTGAACAGATTGCTCAAACTGCGAGAGTTTCACAAGTGAGTGCACGCTGCGTCTGTAGAAGTGTAAAATTAACTCGGTGCCCGGGCAGGCATTTTGCCTGTGTTTAACGATTTAGCTGCTTGCAAGATATTAAGGTATGAAAAGCTTCTCTCCAAAGATTGCAGCTTCTTTTCATTGTAGGTCTTTGGAAGGACAGTGGCGGCTGACTGGATAACAAGAAAACCTAAGTTCTAAATGTCTAGTGTGACTTCTGCCATTTTCTCACAGGAAAACAAAAGCATTGGTTTAAATCTGACAACGGGAGGCATATCTTTATGCAAAGGGTTATGGGAGTTTAAACAAAATAACACATTCAACAACCTGAGCTCTTTCAGACAGGCCTGTTGTTTGTAACCATTCTTATGTTCACTGACAAGCTGATAACATCTGAACACAAAGTGTTGTTGTTTTTTTTCCTGGAACAGAAGTTTTTAACCTTTTTCCATTGATAACATTTGTCATTCCTTCCACAGTTCAAAGATAAACCAGGAAAGAAACAGGCACTGCGCTACAGAAACCTTCCCTGCTATGCATTGAGGTTAATCTTTGAACCTGATTTTGCTAATTATTGCTTTGTTGTGAGTGGAGGATTTTCATTTATTTTCACATTTACAGTGTCAGAATCAGTTTCTGGGAAAAACAAATCCGCGTTGGAATGCCCACACACTCTCATGCATCAGAGTGAGCTCGCACTGAAGGTGTGCTAACCTTCAGCCTAGGAATCAGCAGGAATCCGGAGTGGGATTTTAGCTGCTTTTATTCAGGGGGGATTAAGAGCCTGTCTCTACATAGAACTGTAGGGTGCACTTAATGTAAATGAAATTCAAATTAAGACAAAAATGAAGGCTAAAAAATGGAAAATAACTCCTTACTCCTGGATTTGGAAACAGATGAAGACATTTGCTTTTGTATGCTATAGATTTTGACTTAAATCTACATTAAAACAGGTTTTTGAAGTGATATGGTTTGTAAAAAAAGGCTCCTGCAGGAGCAGCTGGGAGGTAATTGGCATGAAATTCGTTTACTATGACTTTCTTATTGCCAGGTCGACAGAGGAATTACTGGAAAAAAGAGTCACGCAAAGAGTTGGAAAATCCTGGTCCACACAGTAGCAGTTTATCCTGTGGAATGTGTGCTGGGAGGGATGGGGGAAAGGAAAGGTGTTCAAGTGTTGAGGTTCCGGAGGTCTGGTTAGCGTCCTGCAGGAGGAACACGCCCTCAATCTGTGGGTGTTTTCCTGTGCACAGGTGCGGTGGGACAGTGGGCGCTATCATGACGTGCCCCCTGGAGGTCATCAAGACCCGGCTGCAGTCCTCCGGCCTGTCGCTGCGCCCCATCTTCCAGGTCCAGCTGGGCACCCTGAACGGCACGGGCATGATCCGGCCTTCGCCTGTGGCCCCGGGTCTCTTCCAAGTGTTGAGGTAACGGCGTCTCGTCAGCACCGGGTTATTTGCTAACCTTGCTTCCCGGCGTATTAAAGGAACAGAAAGTCGGCGCTGCATCTCGAAAAGGCTCAGACTCGTTCTAAGCTGTGGTCAAGGCCTCATCCAGCAGATCAGCTCTGTTATGTCTTTTCACCAGCGATTCTTAACCCAAGTAGGCTCATGCATCACCATTACCTGGTGCAAAGGGGTCTGCAGACACAAAGGATTGTACCAGCCTTCGCTGGGCGCAGCTGGCGTGGAAGTCCTCCTGCAACGTGCAGAGAGTCAGTGCTTGCTGTGCGCGGGCGAGGGTGACCTATTTTGGGCATCTCTGAGCTGGCCGTTCCAAGTGCAGTTCCAAGGAAGATCGGACCACGGAGGGGAACGCTGCCTCCCGTGTGACGTCTGCTCTGGGACTTGGCTTGCGCTTTCGTGCAGTAAAAGCCTCCTGATGAGCAGCCTTCAGGAAATTAAAATCTGAGATGACGTCCCACCTGGATCGAAGTCCTTTCAGTTTGTATTAACTCCTATAGAGCCTTGGACCCCTTCCTCTCTTTGAAGCTATAATTTTCTATCAGTTAGAAAGTTAGAAAAGAGGTTTTAAATGACTGTAGGTTCTGCAGAAAGAAAAACTAGAAAAAAAGTAAGGGAAAAGTAAAGGTCATTTTCTAGCTTAAAAACTAGTGCCGAGTCCTGTTTTCTGGTCGTTGAGTCTGAAAGTTAAATCTTTCTAGGTAAGTACAAAGTTAAATTTTAAGCGCCCCATGACTGCCTTTTGCAGATCTCGTTAAACCATTCTGCGCCCCCTGCGCTGAGAGTTGTGGCCCCGCGTTTGCCGTTGTGTTCCAGTTGCTGTGTTGCCAAGAGGCAGCTCCCCTCTTTTTGCGCCGCCCAGCTCTTAATCGCTGCTGTCTGTCTGGGCAGGCTTCCTCTTTATGGGTAGAGATCTCTGGCCTGGCAGCCCTGGTCTGCTTCTCAGCCGTGCTACTGTATCTCTGCCGCGTGACTGCCAGGGGCCGGCGGTTTTTTTTTTTTCCTTAGCTGACTCTCAGAAGCTTGAAATTGAAACCGAGCGAGACCTTTTCATTACCAGCACCGAGGGCCTTGGAAACCTCCAGAGCCGGAGCGTAAATTACACCCAGGGCAGCACAGGGCTGCGTCTCTGACGTCTGCTGACGCTGACGCTGACTGTAGCCAGAAATGAATAGTCTGACTCTCTTGTTGAGGGCCATTATCTCAAAACAGCAAATAGGCAAAATTCGAAGTGTATGCAGTTGGTGAATCTGTTGTAGGACTTGTGTTAAATACGCTAACAAAGAATATTGTTTTCTTTTAACACTTGCGTGTGTTTTTTTTTTTAGGAATTTTTCTAATAATAGTGGGAATTGCTGGTTGTCAGAAAACCCTGGGAACTAAAAAGCTGGTGAATCGTTAAGTAGCTAGCCTGCTCATCCCTTGAAAAGTCATTCTTTTTGTGGCACGGAGCCCTTCGTTTCCCTGTGTGCCGTACAGCGGTTCATCAAAAATCCACGCTTCTGTTTTATTGCACAATCCGGTATCTAGTCCTATTGGTACTATAGTGCTTGCTACCCATGTTCTCTCTCCTCAGAAAAGTTCAAAGTTGACCAAACGCTAAGGGAATGGCTTAAAAGAGCTCTCGCATAATCTTCTAATATGGTGGTCTCTGATTTTTATCCTGGCTGCTGCCGTTTCCTAGAGACCTGTGGTCGGTCCAGTATAGGATGGTTGTGTGTTCGATTTCTTTTCGATTGATTGCGTACTTGTGTGTCGCACCTTATCTCTCCCACAGATGCTTGTTAATTGTTTTCTCACCTGCGCCCAGATAGCACAGAGATGTGCTTGCCAGAATAGGCAGAGGTGAATTGACTTGCACTAGCAATAAGGCGCTTTGGGAGTAAATAATCACCGAAAGTGCCTTGAGCTTTTTAGTGTTGCTATGGAATCAGGCTACACGGAATAAAGAAATTAGTAATAAAATTGAGTCTTGCTGAAGGGTACAAACGTACCATTCCACCTGAGATGTAAGCCCACAAGTTTCTGATTATAACTTATCTGATGTCCTTAACTCAAATACCTATTATTACAAACTCCATAGGAAAAAAAAACAGCTCATACACATGTGCAAAATGTATTTTAATACTTGATGTTGAAAACATGTCATTTATCAGTCTTCAGTTCTCGTTGTGCAGAATCTTCACAAATGTAACATCTTGATGAAACGATACATGAGCTGCCGTATGAAGTGCTGTGGCAGCTGATCAGTCACATTTACGAATCAAGTCTGGTTGAGTAATCACTACACACAAATAAAACTAAAAGGGTACTTTTTTGCTACAGAATACAGAACTATGTATAGGATGAACTATGAGCTTACAAAATCGGCTGATGCATAACAAAGGAAAAGCACTGCAAGGAACAATGCAAATTGCCTCTTGTGTAGTGGAGTGGGAGAACCGTTTTCATTGCTCCAAATGGTATGTTCTTTTTTTCCAGGTCCATTTTGGAGAAAGAAGGCCCGAGGTCACTCTTCAGGGGCCTGGGGCCCAATCTTGTTGGCGTAGCCCCTTCCAGGTAGGAACGGGCTTGAATGGGTGTGTTCTGGGTTGGCGTGAGAGCGTGGTGATTTTTCACTGTGGGCGTTGATCTCGAGGAGAGTTCTTGGCTGTGATTGTTTGTGTTACCGTTGTTTTGACGGTGCGCAGCACACGCCACGCTATTGGGAAACCGCTCTGCATGGTCAAAATGTTTTTGATGCCTTGGTTAATAAGTTGCCCGGAGAGACAGGAGGTTGTAAACAGTGCTGCCTGTTGAGTAAGACAGCGGCCAGTTGGTGCCACATGGGAGGCTTTCTGTCCTGACGTGATGAGACAGAGCGTGTGATTGTACTTCCTGTACTCTTTCACCCTTGATTCTCGGTACAAACAGCACTGAGCCTGTCAGGTCATCAAGGTCACGGAGGCCTAAGCTTCTCAGAAAGGAGGGGGAAGAGAGCAAAACGCTTTCTTATTGGGCAGAGCTGTTTTTCTTCCTGTCCCTTGTTACATTATAACACGTCCCCCTTGCTGGGCTCTTTACACAATGAGTGTTGGGCAGGAAAACAATTGACACTTGGAGTCATTAACTCCCTAGCCTGGGGGAACATGCTCTTTTCTGCAAGGCTGTACGTGACGTAACGGCCAGTTTCAATAACTGCTTTCGGCGCTCAAGTGAGGTAACAACAGGGTAATCGTATATTGCAGGAGGGAAAATGCAGCTGTCAGAGGGCTTGATTACTAAATATTATTTGGCTGATGATTTTATCTGGAGCAATGTAACATTTGCACCCATTTACACAGCTGGGTATTTTATTGCACGAATTCAGGTAAGGTTCCTTAATCTAGGGTACAAAAGCAATGCCAAACCTGGGATTTGAACCTGTAACTTTTCAGGTAGCGCACCCCTGGCCACTGCTCGAAACATGGAAGTGAAACATACTGTTTCCCCCTGTCAGGGGTGTTCAAGGCAGGATTTGGGGATGAGAGTGCAGAGAGATTATTGTGCTGGCTGCCAGGCCGGCTGTCCCGGTGCTTTTGGTATGCAGAAGCAAGGCAGCCATTCATGAAGCAGCAGTACAATAAAGGAGGAGCTGGGTGCTTACTCAGGCCTTTTCAGCTCTGCCAGTGCAGGCTGTTCCAGAACCTGTTCAAAGAGATCAGTGTGGAACAAAACGGAGGGTATCAATCATTGCTAAAAGAGCACAAGACTAAAAAGTGCCATGTACACACCCATTATACATTTGCAGTTTTCATCTGGATTTGTATAATCACGATTCACGATTGTGAATTATGCCTCTGCCATTGACCTGTAGATGTTTAGCTTTAGACATGAGTAAATTAGAAACGTATTCTGCTCAGGCTGATAACCTTCTGCTCTCCCTTAGTCAGCCAAAACAAACACTGAGACTCAGTGGAGCCCCCTTTAGATGGGGTGGGGGGGTTCTGCCTGTATCGTCCCCCCCATATCGCTCCTCTGTTTGGTCCTCATCCCAACTCTCTCTCTCTTTCTCTCTCGTTGTGTCCTCCCACCCAGAGCGATCTACTTTGCTGCCTACTCCAAATCCAAGGAGAAGTTCAACACTGTATTCGTGCCGAACAGTGGCGTCGTGCACATGTGCTCTGCGGGTTTCGCGGGTGAGTCTTTTTCCTCTTCTCGGGATCGTGGGTGAAATGAGGTGGGATCGTTTCAGCAAATTAAAACGCATCTTCCTTTGGGGGGTGGGTGGGGGGGATCTCTGCTTCCTCGCATCTCTGTGTTTGATGTGCTGTTCCTGGGCCGGTGCGGAGGAAACAGAACCCCTGCGATCTGGCTGAAGTGCTCTTGTTATGAAACACAACTGCTGGCATCAGCTGGGCTTTCCACGGCGGTTGAGGAATTTGCCTCTCGCTTGCAGAGATCATGTGCGCTAATTATACACCCTGCACCACTGCGTGACTGATCGCGCACGCCAGACAGTGCCTCTGCTTTTATAGGTTTGCCAAATACAAGTTCCACCACCTGCTTTGTTTAGAGGAATGCCGTCTGCTTAAAAAGAAAAAAAAAGTGCTCTTTGAGGTTTGGAACAGTCCGTTCAGAAAAACAACTGCAGTGATTCTCTGGCTTTTTCAAAACATTTTTTCCCTACCCCGTCCGACAGGTAAAATACCAGGGTGTTCCTTCTTATGTGAAGGAAGATGTTGCTGCTGAAAACAAATCGCTAAAAAAAGACACCGCTAAGGAGTCAGGCTAGTAAAGAGAAACCAGGTGCGTTCTGGGGTTTAAGAGGCCATCCTGCACGGACGGGGTGAAGGAACTGAACCTCTTTAATCTGCGGCAGAGACAGCTGTCAGGGGCCCTCGTACAAATATTCAAGATCCTCGAAGGCACTGACTTCGTAAAAACCGAGCGGACTTCTACAGAAGGGAACAGTGAAACAGACCAGAGATCTCATGTGCAAGCTCTGTGGAAGTGCATTTAAAACCGAGAACGGGAGACGCTTCTTTACGCAGAGGGTTGTGGGAGTCTGGAACAAGCTGCCCAGCCAAGTTGTTGAAACCCGTACTGCGGCTTCCTTCAAGAAGATGGCTGGAGGAGATCCTTGGATCAGATGACTACAAACTAGACGGGGGAGGGGGCGAATGGCTCTGTTTCCTGGGGTCCAGTGGGATGTGGAGAGCAGGCTGGAGGATGATGTTTTGGAGAAGTACAGTATTAAGCTCTTGTTTTTTTTTCCCCTCCTCCTTGTTGCAGCTTTCATCACGAACTCCCTGATGAACCCAATCTGGATGGTGAAAACCCGAATGCAGCTGGAAAGAAGGTAAAACAGGTCCCGACTCCGGAATCCTATCCCCTTTCTGTACACCTCTGGAGGGCCTGGGAAGGAATGGCCCCTCGGGACTGCCGAGAACGTATGAAGATCTGTGGCTTACTGCGACATTCACATGCAGATAAATGTTTTATGTTGTTTCAGCTACACTAGTTTTGCATACATCAAAGGGAAGCTGTCTTCCTCGTATTTTATATATTCGGCACATTCTGTCCTTGAAGAGAATCACTTCAGTGGTGGACAGTTTGAAAAGCAGGAGTCTCCTGTGTGCCCTCTTTAGCACATGAAACAGCTCATGCATCTCCTGGCACGTCCTGCTCTACATTATAAATATCCTTCTTGACGCAGTTGAGTTGGAATACCTCTGTCTATATTCAGGTATAGAAAGGGCAGAGGTCAGCAATATCATATTGTTGAATGCCGTCAGAATCGTGTATTGGCAAAGCCGGTTTGAATGGGCACTCTTGACACCTGCGATTCCTAGTCAGGATGAAATGTGCCATAACATTTGATTCTGATTGTCGGCGTTGCATTCAAACTTCACTCAGGCTGCATAAAAGCTTGGAGCCATCCAGAGGGATTTGCATACAGAGTCAGAATCGCACTGTGTCACACCATTGGAAATGGAACGGTATCTTTTCAGCAGAAATAATTAGATGGTAATTCTGTGAGAATTTACACTACCAAGATAAAAGAGCATTAGGCTTGCGTCTGCAGCATTTGAGCCCGTCGGTGAGGGAAGCACAGCTCCTCACCCTGCGTTCGCCCACCCACGCGTGTCGATGTCTGATTGAAGCCATTTCCTCATTCTTTCCGTGTGGGAACCGGAAGTATGAGCATGAGAAAGGTTATGACGTTTTACACAAGATCAGTGTGCATCTTCAATTCGTATTTCGTAAGAATATAGAAGCACAGGCAACACGGACGCCCTCCAAGTCGAGAAAAAAACAGCTGAGCAAAGTTCAGTAACGGTTCTCTCTTACTCATTATCACTTGATTTTTACTAACGTTATTATTATTATAATTATTAAGATTATTAGTTTCAGCCCAGATATGAAAACGCAGCGGTTCGTTCCAAAACATTTTTGGGTATAAAGTGAAGAACACATAGAAATTGGTTGAAGAGTTACTTCTCTTTTTTTCTCATTCTTAAAAAAAGTAACGTTGGAGGATTAGAATGATTATCGCGATTTCCCTTTTGTCTCAAATAACAAAGCAGTGAAAGTCTCCCGATAGGTGTATGAGCAGTCGAAAGTATAAGTGAGCCAGTGGGTTGTTTGAAAATCACTCCGTGGATTGTTTTAACTCCTCGGAGTGAAATTAGTTCTTTTTTTTTTTTGGCATGTTTTAAAGCGACATTTCACGACCAGAACACTCTAAACATGCATGTGTAAAAATACAGCCTCCCGTAAACCAAACGGAAAAATTAATTGATGTGAGAATCCATACTTAAGTCACTGTAATTTCTACGTGCCTGTACAGGATTATGCTGGGGGGGTTTTTTAACACGCAAGTGGTGTTTGAACAGCTGACATCACCTCCTGACCGGCTGCTGATTCTGGCTCTCTGTCGCCCCCTGCAGGGAACGGGGTGTGAAGCAGATGAACGCGTTGCAGTGCGCCAGACACGTGTATCGGACGGAAGGCATCTGTGGGTTTTACCGCGGACTCACGGCGTCCTACGCTGGGATCTCAGAGACTATTATCTGTTTCGTCATTTACGAAACGTTAAAGAAGCATCTGGCGAATTCCAAGATGGCCTCCCCAGCCAGCGGCGGGAGCGAGAAGGAGGCTACGGATTTCCTTGGGCTGATGGCGGCCGCGGCCTTCGCCAAGGGCTGCGCCTCCTGTATAGCGTACCCACACGGTAGGTGTGAGGCCTCCAGGGGCCAGTGCCAGGAGGGAACCCCATTTACCCCCCCACCTTAACTGCTTGGTCATTCATCCCACAAATCCTCTACAAACACCTCGTTACCCAGGATGTACGTTTAAACACGTGAGAGTAAACGCGATTTATTCAACAAAGAAACATAGGTCGTTGCTCGTCTGTGTTTAAGAAGCCAAGGACAAGAGCGAAGAAGGAATCAATTGTGTCCTTTTTCTCAGGGGGTTGTGCCTAAGATCGGGCATTGCAGTCAAGTCTTCTTTTGTGAAAAGTTAGTTCACCATTAAAAAGTAATAAATTCGAAGTACAACACTGCCCCCTTGTGATCTGTTTTGCAATTGTCCATATATGAATAGGGTTGGCAACTATCGAATTATTGTCAAGTTTGGCACCACAGTTAAAATAGAAGATGTTTAAAGAGTGATATTAATGTGACAGTGTCTTTATAAATACGGTAGGGAGCACTTTCTGTCCTATACCAGCACAGATGGCTCTGTGGCTCAGGATCTGCGCCTGTGACTGGAAGGTTGCCGGTTCAAATCCCGCGGCCGGCAGAGGAATCCTACTCTGTTGGGCCCCTGAGCAAGGCCCTTCACCCCAGCTGCTCCAGGGGCGCCGTACAATGGCAGACCCTGCGCTCTGACCCCAAGCTTCTCTCCCTGTCTGTGTCTCCATGGAGAAAAGCTGGGGTATGCGAAAAGACAAATTCCTAATGCAAGAAATTGTATTTAATAAAGAAACATTATTATTATTATTATTATTACATTATTAGATGCAGGTGGTGGGTTTTTTTTGGAATCGCTTGGCTTTGGCCTGTTCCTGGAACGGTGTGCATTTCAAGTCCTAGACTAAACGTTGTCTTGTGTTCTCCCCTTGCTCCTCAGAGGTGATCCGAACGAGACTTAGGGAGGAGGGCAGCAAGTACAAGTATTTCTTCCAGACAGCCCGGCTAGTGGCTCTGGAGGAGGGCTATCCGGCGTTCTACCGGGGACTGATGGCCCAGCTCATCCGCCAGATCCCCAACACGGCCATCGTGCTCTCCACCTACGAGCTCATCGTCTACCTGCTGGGAGACGTGGCCAAGTAGATCACCGCAGCGGACCGAGCCCACGGCCCACGGCACACGGAACGGCACCAGCAGCTCTCCGGAGGCCTGGCACCTTCTTCCACTCATCCCAGGACAGCGTCGCGGGCTGCCGAGCCCACACGGATGCAGACTTTAGACTGCGTTACCCAGACCTTTATATATTATTGTTTTTATTTGAAGAAATAAAAAAAACCGGGAGATGTTTTTTTTTTTTTTACAAGACACTAAAAGTGTTCCTGAATTTTCGTCCTCGGCACTTTGACGGAAGACAAAGCAGAAGTGTTCTCTGGTTCTGGATCGGTCGAGTATTAACTAGGAGGTCATGATGAAGAAATGCAGCTGGAGGAGTCTAGATGACATGTGCTGTTAGTTACTGTTTGTTTTTTTCAGATTTCCAAAGATGAAAAGGTCCACTAGTTTGCTTGCAGATTGTTTAAACAAGAATGTTTAGCCAATGCACTGAAAGTCAGTGAAACCTGCTGCAGTCCCTCTGAAGTCAGCTAGACTAGTGTGGTTGACCGTAAGACTTGCATACATGCACTGTTCTCAATTCTTGGACTACTAGCTGGAGTTTTGGACGTCTACAGTTCCGTTTCTTTTTTCATCCTGTAGGGTGGAGTTTAATTTAAATTATTTCTGAATGCCTTGCTATGTGTCCTAGGGTGGTATCAGATTTTATAACTCTGTTTAACACTTCCTTCTTTTTGTCACAAGAAAAACACATTGTTGTGTTTTACGAACGAGGACCTAAATGCATATTTAAACCATGGTTTAATAAAAATGCAAATATGGATATTCTGTTTGTGACTGAATTGGGAGTACATTTGGGGTTGAAAAAAGCTCTTGACGCCTTCGTGGCCAATTCAGATGTGATGCTAGTTAGGAAACGTATCGCACAAGCCCCTTCATCACACATTAAATCATTACTTTTTGTAGTGGTACTGGTTTGGGGTCCCAGAATTCTCTGTAATGGGTTCCGACTATATTAGCCGACTAAGGAAAAAGGTGTGAGTCTTTGTGATTTAAACCTGTTTTTTTCCAGCCGTCAAACCCATGATTAATACTGTGCAGGGGTTATGGCCTCACCAGCGTCTAACGGTGGTGTGAAGTTGTTTAAACTAGTGATTCCTAACCCGTGGGAACACCAGCCCACCAGTGTTCTCTGAGGTGCCCACTCGTGGGGGTGGAGAGGATGGGTAATACAGTACAGTACGTACGGAGTGACGTCAGAAAGAAGTGTTCACCCAAGTGTAGGAATCATAGCGGTGATGGTCACTATCCGTAACTGCTCCTATACTAAAAACCGCAGGAGTGCTTGCGCTCTTATAGTACTTGCAGTCTATATACTGGCTGTAGCCAAAACCAAAGCTTCTCGGTTTCGGACAGTGTTGCTCACAATTTGAACGCCGTCACTTAGAAGCTGATGTGATCATAGCTGCTGGTGATTAGACCTTTGAAGGGAACATATACAGAAACCACCGGGACGACCGAGGACGATTGTTTGCAAAGAGCAGTCCTCTCTGTCGCAGCTGGACGTTAAGTTTCTGCTGCTTTTAGCTACCTCGGACGCGTGTGAGTCAGGGTTTTCAGCTGTTGAAAAACAGCGCGGGCATAAGCTGTGCACAGCTTTAATTATTGATCTCTTTGTCACCCTTTCTCGATTTCCATCCCAGCGGGATAGGATTTCCCAGAGGCAAGCCCGGGTATGTCGCTAAAGGTAAGCAGCGTATGTTTATGTGCCGTTTCTGCAAACGCAAAGGTTCACTTGTCACAGGCTGGACGATCTGTTTAAAAGTAAAAGTAAGCCAAGAAAATCGAAGTCATTTAAAACATTAAAAACTGTAGAGGTTCGATTCCTCCTTTATTCCTTTATTCCAAATACAAACAGCGGTATATACATACAAATATACATATGTCTCAACATGACACAACAGGGTAGCTACAAGAGAATGAAACGGGGGGGGACATTTTGTCCTTAGTACAGAGGTTATGTGGTGTTTAGGGGTGACATTAAAAAAGTTCATATGCTAAAAGGCTTGTGTAGCCCAGCGCACCCGGCCAGGTGACAGATGTGCTGCAGTTGCGCGGTCCGTCCTGCGAGCCGGAAGTCGCGCTCCGCGGCGCGGGGGCCGGGCCAAGAAGGCGCGTGGGACGAGCCCCGCTCTCTGATTGGCTGCCTGCCCGGGTTCGCCAGGCGGGGCTCGGGGATGGCAGCTTGGAGGTTATAGAACGGCGCGCGCTGGCTCGCGTCCCCTGGCTTCGCCCGCGACCGAGACGGACGGCAGGCGTGCGCGGACCCTCCCCTCCCCCAAAAAAACGAGCCGGAGGACCATGGAGGTTTTCGGTCAGATGCTAGCGGAGTACCCCCAGCTTACCCTCGCCGGGGGAGTCGGAGCGACTGCCTGCGCTGCTGGGGCAGTGGTTTACAGGATTGCAACGAGGTTGGTGGAGCGCTGTAACAATAGGCCCTATTGCGCCGGGGGCTGTAGTGGAGGGGTTCTGCGGGACACTGCGCCTGGCGCTGGCGGCGTGTTCTTTCACAAGCCCGCCCCCCCTCTCCCCTCGGTTGGGTTTGGGCATTTTTGCAGTAGTTGTGGTGTGCTCCCGGTTTTTGTCTCTGGTCTGTTAAGAGTCAGCTGTTGGCCGCGGTGTTTGTGGCACAGCCTTCCTGTTGCGATTTAACAGTGTTGAGTGCATGGGTGATTCTGTAGCATAGAGTTATCATGCCGTGTAGTATAAGGTGGTAATAATATTGTAGGTCGAAGTCAGGGTAAATGGTTCCCGTTTCTTGTCTTCTCTTAATCTTACATCTTAAAATAAAAAAGCACGTTCAGGAGCATCTGATTCTTCTAATTCTTCCGTGTTGGGTGCAGTACCGTACTCGATCCTTCTCGTTCTGGCGCCTGCAGATAAGATGCTCCGGGGGGGCGAGAAGGTTCATTAACAAAACAAAGCGCTGTCATTTTTCACCTTGCCTCATGACCTGGTTCCGCTCTGTGATCTAGAGCGCGAGGTGTGGCCTTGAACGAGCCCCCCCCCCCTCCCCGCCAACATCTGGAGCAAAGCGAGTACAGATGTGCACAGCTGTGATCAGCCCGCGAGCGGCGGCACAAAGGCATCGCCTCGCGTTCGCTCCGTCGCTGTCCCGCTCTCGAGCTGCCCAGGGCTGGGCGACACGTCGCGTGGGGGGGTATATCATAAGTTTCAAACTTTATGTTGAAGAGGAATCTCTCGGCTCTGGCTGTTGCTAACCTTCTTAATAATAATGTTCATTGCCATTGAGCCGGTGACGCGCGTCTTTGTATACCGTGTCAAATGTTGCTCGAAGCTGTTGAGAGTTTGAAATAATTTTAAAGACAAATAATCTTTGATTAGTAGAGGACAGTCGGGGCAACTGCTTCAGACAGATGGTCCCATCGCACCGAGGAGTAGCAGCTGCGGCAAATGTATGATCTGCCCCCCCCATATACAGCTGCTCCAGACTTTGAGTTTGGCTGGGTGTCACCCAAACAGCCGGTGACACCGTAATAATCGAATCGCACGTTTCTTCCAAAATGATCAGATTTGTATCCTTACACGAGCGTCGGAACTCTTCCTCGCTGTTTGTCGCGACCTGTAGGACGGGTAACATTTTGTTGTTTTTTTTTTGATAAATCGCCTTTGCTAGCGTCCCGTTTTCGGCACGGGTTCCAAACGCGCGTCAGCTGGTCTCGGTCTGTGACCGTGACGGGACGACATTGATCTCCACGGACAGCGAGCAGCTGCTGGCGGGACAGAGGCTGCAGTAGTCGGATTGCGGTTGGGTGGCGATGGCCAGAGCTACAGTATGTGTTTCACGCTGCTGTGCCGGCGGCACACAATGCAAAATGAAGAGCGCAATAAGTGCATTTGGGCGGGGGGGAGGGTTCTGCCTGTCCTACATTTATTGTAGTCTGACGAACGGCGAAAGAGTGAAGCAAATGTTATGATGTTTTTGTTTTTATCCTGATGTGCGGTGTGTAGCAGGGGTCAGTGCTCTGGACCTCTGACTGCGGGGTCGCTGGTTCAGATCCCAGGGGGGCTGTAGCAACTGCTGCCGAGGCTTATAAGTAAAAGGAAATTGATCACGTTCACCACTGTACGTCGCTTTGTATACAAGCTTCAGCCGAACCCGGATTAAAGAATCTAAGTGATTCACCTCAGCATTCGTCATGCACATCCATCCACATACTCCAGCTGAATGAAAGGAAAGGTCCCTCCGACATCCACTGTGTCCCCCCTGTTGCTCTAATGGGTTTGAAGGACAGGTGACGCGCTTTGCACAATCCAGGGATGCAGGGCGTCTCATGGGGCTTCAGAAAACACCCCCAGCGTGTCGGTAGTGAGCTGTGAGATCTGAGTGTTCTGTTCTCCCTTTGTGTGCTGTTGAGACCCACGTGCGCCGTGAGCTGCACAAATGAGACACCATATGGTGTCATTCCCACCCGCCTTGCTTCACCTCAATAAGGTTTAAGAACAACATTCTAAGGATTAAGGAAGCACTCCGGAGACTAATGCACAAGTGCACTTCACCCGCCCTGAACCGTGCCTCTCAGATCGCTTCGGCTGTCTCGTTTAAAAAATAAAGTCTGTTGCCCCTTCTGAAACGAATGCTTGTTTTGCCTGTGTGCCTATTTTGTATTTGACCGAAACGCCCGTGTTTGCGGTGTTTGTGTGAAGGGCGCAGTGTAGTATCGGTTAGGATGCAGAGACGTGCACAGCTGAGTCTCTTCGCAGGCTGCGCTCCGAGAGGGCTGTAAGGATGGGATGGGTCTGTGTCCGTCGGTGTTCCCCTCGAGCCAGGGAGAAGGCGGCTGACCCAGCCCAGCTCCAGCTGTGTGTGTTTTCTGGCAGGTCTGAGGGGGAGACCAGTGGCGTTCATGCACATCATTCAGCAGTGGGCTTCCGAATGCAGCTCTGTGCAGTGAGAGACTCGGCAGAAGTGTTAACAGTTTCAAGCAAGAGTTTCGGAACTGCCCTGATATATTCATTTCTCATTTTTCTAATCTTGTTCTCATTTTACTCCCGATGGAGTCCTGTGTGTTGTAAACTCACTGCTAAATCGGCACTCAAACATGGCAGTAGCAAACACTTTCATCGTTTCATTGACACAGCTTATAACAAAGGTGACGTACATTTAAGTGTTGAAAACCCTTATATTCATTTAGTGAGCAGGGCACAATGCACTTACCTGCTGTGAACTGATGTATTTAGCTGATGCTTTTAGCCCAAGGGACTTGCATTGTACCCATTGATACAGCTAAGTATTTAACTGGAACAATTCAGGTGAAGCACTTTGCTCAGGGCTACCACAGCAGTGTTTCGATTGGGATTTGAACCCACGACCTCCCAGCTACCTGTCTCGAGACCTGACCACTGCTCCACACTGCTGCCTACTCAGTGATATTCCCAGAATAAAGAAAGAAGCGGTAGACAGACTTTACGTCATATTTGCACAAGGGAGGCTGCTTAATAGAAAGGGACAGCGAAAATGAACCTGTTAGAAAAGTTAACTGCTGTCGTTACTGGTGTTCAGTAAGTGAGAAAATGCTGACTGGGGCGTTTTGGAACAGCAGTACTGTTCCCAGAGATGAAGCACTCAAAAAGACAGAATGGTCTTGGTTTTTACTGCTGTCTGTTGCTAATGGATGTCAAACACCAGACCTGCAGCTCTGTCTAATGCTGGAGCAGAATACTGTCAGGGGTTGTGTTTGCAGACCAGAACTCCAGTCGCAGAAAACCGTTTTGAAAGCATGGCTCATCTCCTGTTCACGGGGGGTGTGTTCACCTGCGGATTTAGTTTGTTCTTTGCTGTTTCCCCCCCCCAGGAAGAAGCCCACACACGTCCAGGTTAACTGCTGGTTCTGCAGCCAGGACTCTGTCGTTCCGTATGGGAACAGGAACTGCTGGGATTGCCCCAACTGTGAGCAGTACAATGGATTCCAGGAGGTAATGTGCTTGGGAAGTCTTTTCTACGGTCTGATTGCTTCATAGCATTCTTGATAATGTTCAGTACATTAAAATCATAAAATGCGAATGGTACTGTTGATGGTTTTAATTTTAATCTCGTGCAAAGATTTTTTTGTTGTCCTCGGCCTATGTAGCATTTCCCTGCTTTATTTCTTTTTTTACTGTCATATTAAATTTTAAGCAATGGTGAGATTGTGCTAAGGAGCTAAAGGCAGTAGTAGTCATTAGGAGAGTCAGCATCTCTTCATTGGGCACACAAATCCAAAACCACCGGGGGAAAAAAACGACATTGAAGGCAAATGAGTTTCTTTTGAGCCTTATTCTTAAGGAGCGGCATTGCCACCCTGTGGCTCGATCTTGTTAAGTCCCGGACGCTAGGCAGGACTCCTGGGATGGGAAATAGCTGAGGAAGACCGGGGGGTTTCTGTGAGCGATGCAGGTGGACCAGTAGGTGGTGGTCTTCTGTGCTGGTCCGGAGTTTCCAAGCCAGTACCTTTGCACGGTGACCAGGGACTGTGCTGTGGGAGGTGCCAACCTCCAGATGAGATTTCTGACTGTCCTCACTATTCGAAAATCATATATAAAGAAATGGCAAATATGAAGATGCCATGGTTCTAGAGAAGTGGCATTAACCTTGGTGCTGTGGAACTGGCTCAGTTCCACCTTGGGCTTGTACAGTCAGGCCTCCCTGTAGCTCCCCTTTGTTTCAGCTGTTGAAGTCATTTCTGTCCACGTCTCTATCTGATCAGCAGTGACGCACAGCTGCCAGGGGGCCTGTCTACAGTCATGGAGGAGGCAGGGAAAACATTGTGCGTTAATAGATGTTAGTCATATCACTCTGTTGAGCCCTTTGTTCTGCAGCACGCCGGTCCGTGGTGTGAAAAGGTGACGTTTTGTGTAGAGGAAACCAGGGTAAGGAGGCTGAGACCAGCCAGGAGGGGGCGCCAGCCAGACTGTAAATTCAGACCATGATGGTGCAAAGATAAATGCCGAAGAAAAGGATGTGATCGTCTATCCATCCATCCCTTTCCTAACCACTTTCTCCCATTCGGGGTCACGTGGGGCTGGAGTCTATCCCAGCAAGCAGCAAGCACACCCTGGAGGGCACCCACACTCCCACCAGGGCAAGTTTCAACCTCCAGGCAGCCAGTTTACCTGCAAGCATGAATTTGCACTGGGGCAGGAACCCCATGCGACCACAGGGGGAACATACAAACTCCACACAGACAGCACCTGAGGAATTGAACCCAGGACCCCAGAGCTGTGAGGCAGTAAAGCCAACCACTGTGCCGCCCTGTCACCTGTGTGGGATTATCCTGTGGTTAAAATGTTGCCTTTTGTTTTGCCCTGTGTGTGTCTGTGCTTCAGAATGGTGACTACAACAAGCCCATCCCTGCGCAGTATATGGAGCATCTGAACCACGGCGTGTCTGCCGGCCTGCCTGTGCCACAAACGCCAAAGACTCTTCAGTTTGTTAACTGTCAGATGTTACTGTGCAAGAAATGCAATAATAACCAGACTCTGAAGATCAAACAGCTGGCTTCATTTGCACCAAGAGAAGAGGTATGTGGCTATTTTTCTTGAAAAGGGACAGGTTGTTTGTATGTATGCGAGTGTGTACTGTGGGCATGAATTGTCACACTGCTAAAATGTAATGTTGCAGTTGTGCAGCAGGGGGGCGCTATGCTCCCATGTTTTTAGCCCAGAAGTAAGATCCGGCACAGTTTAGCAAAATTATCATTTTCGTCATATACCTATGGGAACATATTTGATTTAATTATATTGTGCTTTCCAGTTCAATGGTATGCTGTTGTATAAATCCATGTTCGGAATAATTTAGCATAATTAGGTGTTTTTTTATTTTTGGGTTTAGCTGATCTTTATCTGTAGTGGAGTGAAAGAAGATATTCTAGTCCAAAAACATAAGAGATTTAAGTATGCAGAAAAAGACACATATACGGTTGTACACACCCTTGTTATAGGATAACATTTTGGTTTTTTTTTAGAATAAGAAGGAAATGCAGTCAAACGTTATATTTCTTTGAGGAAAGCAATGAAAATCTCCATATAAATGCATTCAAATCCCATGTAAATCACATGAGAAAATAGAATGCATAGGCATAGGCTTTTGAAGGGTCAAAGTCAGACATTGTCATAGGGACAGCTGTAAGCATGCTTGTTTTCACAAGACACAAGCTAAAAGCAGGCTTTCAAAAGAGACGCTGTACAATAGGACATGCTATGCACATAGCATACAGTATCTATCCATAGTGTGTCCTGCTATGTAATGCAAAGGAACAAGTAATAGGTTTATTCCATGCTTAGAGAAAACACAATGTTTCGGCTGTGAAGCCTTCTTCAGGTGTGAGAAAGACAGGGCAGGCAGCAAAGATTAAGTAACACAGGAGAACAAAAGCTGGGAGAGAGGAGGGGGCGGGAGTGGCAGAGAGGTCACTCAGGAAGTGTGGAGTGGAGAGGGGTGAAGAAAGGTGTGAAGTCAGAACCTGCATGAGAATAGAGAAGATTACATGAAAATAAGTCGGTCATTTCAAGTTGTGCTTTCCAGTTCAATGGTTTTTTTGTGGATTCATGATGAACTTAAACTTTTTCATCTTCTGTCACTTGTGTAATAACTTTTAATTGAAATGCAGTGAATCCGCGGTTTTTCCCCATGTCTGAAGAGGTTCGGTTTGGAGGTTTTTTTTTAAAATGATATCTGTACGAACAGCTGCCCTTGTGTAACTTTAGCCATCAACCGCCTGGGGCAGAATCTTCCTCCGACATTCAACATTTCGGCAGACGAAGCCCACAGACATTCATCATTGCCGCATCCAGCTCAGGCTGTGTTTTGACAAGTTAATTTTGACACATTGTCTTGGGTGTTTGCTGCTCCGGAGGCTCGTCTCCTGGGGCGCTGTGTTTGAAGTGGGGCCAGCCGTTCAGGGGCTCTCCACCGGAGAGCGCGCGCTTGAAAAGACAGGCCGGCATGAGCTAATCGGTGGGGTGGCTCTGTGCCCTTCGGAGCGCTGGAGATCTTTGTTTTTTGGATCCCAAAGTAGTTTTTCCAGTAGTTTCTGGTTTGCGCCTGCAGGTATAATGCTTTCACAATGTAGCGCCTTCTACTGACATCCAGAAAGTAGGGTGAATGTGGGTGACTGACCTTTCCCATTTAACACCTCGAGAGCAGTTTGCGGAGGTGCGAAAGCACTCCTCTAGTAATTTGTATTTTTTTTATTGGTACTAATTTATTTTCTTATGTCTTTCGAAGTTTGATAGCCGCCTTTTTGCCTGAACTGCTCCACTCGTGACGGCTGGAGATGCACCGGTTGAGCAGTCCTGGGGTATTTCTGGGCTGCGTGTGCGCTAGTGATGTTCAGTGCTGACAGCAGCCTTGTGATAAATGGGCTTCGTATGAGACGTAGGAATTGCCGGGCATCTAAAGTCCTGGCAGGACATGATCAGCTGGGCGCCTGCTCACCTGTTGCATGTGAGCTGCCAGAGTGTGTATACGGTACGATATCAGGAAGTAACCAAAGCAAACTACGGCCTGGGAGAAAAGGAGAGAGCCGCCTTTTTGGTGGCCGGGCCAGGGATTGCAGCTTCAGAACGAGAACCGGATGGGAGCCCCGATGAGTGCCAGGGGGCCCGTCCGAATTCGGGCCGTTCGGCGCCTTCGGGGCATCCGATACCACAGGATACTGACACATCAGAGGCTGGCATTGATGTTCGTGAACGTCAGCTCATTCAGAAGCAGTTTGCGGGTGTACGTTCTTTACACCCTTTAAAGAAAGTTTTTTTTATTAGTAACCCCGTAATTACTGTATACAAGTCAAGGTACGCGTATTCTGCACTGGAGTCTTATTTTCCTGGTTTATAGGGACAGGAAGGTGTGCTTGTGTGTTTTGTTCCTCCGAGACGTACCTCTGATTAAGAGGGCAGGCGCTGGGGGAAGCCGAGGAGGGTGCATTGTCTCCTTAAAAAGAATGCGTCGTTCCTAATTCGTCTTGCTCCGTGTGTCTCGCTCAGGAGAAGTACGACGAGGAGATTGAGGTCTATCGGCACCACATAGAGCAGACGTACAAGCTGTGCCGCCCATGCCAGACAGCTGTGGAGTACTACATCAAGCACCAGAACCGCCAGCTCCGAGCCCTGCTCTTCAGCCACCAGCTGAGGCGCGGCAGAGACGCGGACAAGGCCTTCGTGCAGGTGAGTGCCCTGCTGGCTCGGCCCCGAGCCCGTGTGCTGGCGGGGGGGCGCAGCCGCAGTGGTCTGGCACTGAGAAACCTCCGCGCAGCCGCTCTTCAGACGGAGCTCCAGCCTGAGCCAGAGGCGCGTGTTGAGGGAGCCGTGATCCGCTGTGTCCTGCCTCAGCTCACGCAGGTGTGTGCATGTAGGACATCTCCCTGGGAGGTGGTGGGTCCAGATCCCAGGAGAGTCGCTGCTGGTGTGGCTTTGAGCAGCGGACTTCACCTGAATTGCTCCAGTAAAATACCCAGCTCTGTAAATGGTGCAAATGTAGTGCAAAGTCCCTTTGGTTAAAAGTGTCAGGCAAATAAAATCCCTATAAAGCAAGTAAGTTCCTCGCTCATTCAATGAATGTAAGGGTTTCCAACCATAAAGAGGCCTTTTTTCTGTGCGTCGCACCTTCAGACACATAAATTCGTTCATAGCATAAGAATGAGTGCAAATGTAAGTTTTGCGCAGGACAAATAAGAAATTGTATGAATATGGTAGAAAACGGGAATTTGCACACATGCTTTGGAAGTGCTGGAATTTAAAACGTGTAAGAACAGGAAAAATGAGACAATTATTCATATTAAAGCTGTGACATTCAATTTCCTTGTCATATCTTGGACGCTGTTGCTCAAAACCTCTGTGAAATCATTAGAAGAGTATATGTATGCCAAGGATAAAATTGCTGATTGAAGCTGCAAAAAAAAAAGGATAGAAATAAAAACATGGGCATGTTTAAAGTGTAATGTATTGAATGAGGAAATTGCTTTGCTCTCCAGAACTCCTACAGTTTTTCCACACCTACTCGTGTGATCCTCCTGCGGGTCCTGGCGTTCCTGGCCTGTGCTTTCCTGGTGGCGCTGGTGACCTGCGGCTCCAGAGACCCCTTCCTCACTGCCGGTGCTCCTGAGGCTCCGGTCCGGCCCCTGGCCAGCAACGCCAGCGCGCCGGGGAACAGCAGTGCTGGGAGCACGGGGATCTGGCCCGAACTCCTCAGCCTGTTTCCCAGGGAGGTCCTGGAGACGCTGCAGGCCGCGTGGGACTATGGGAGAAGCCATCAGCTGGCAGTGGTGTGCACGGGCTTGCTCGCCTGCATCATGGCCGTGTTCATGGCTGGGCGCATCAGGTGACTTGTCCCCTTTTAAGTGCATTTGGTTAAATTCAGTACATTGCTGTATGTGAATTGAGGGTTTTTTTTTTTACCTGGTTGAATAAGGATACTCTGTTGCAACAGTACTCTTTGAAATATAGGTCATGGCATTTTTCCCACATACGTTGTGGACCTCCAGTCAGTGCTGAGCTCCCAGTACTGGGCTGTGGCGCCAGTGACGCGGTCAAAGACAAGTGGCTGTAAGGTGGCCATGTCGAAGGAGTCCGCCCTCGCTTCCTCAGTCTCCCGTGTGCAGTCACAGGGTTTACAGCCCCCTGAAAAACACAGCTGGAATTTCCAGAATGGCAGAACATAAGAAAAACTAGCTAGCCCCCAGTTTAACAGAAGCTGTTTCAGCCATGTAGACATGAATACATATAGTTCAGGTGGGTAGCTGCGTCAGCATGCGTAGGCTGCAAAGGAACAAGTAATAGGTTTATTCCATGCTGGAAAAAAAGAAGAAAGAGAACACAACGTTTCGTTGCTCCACGGCCGAAACGTTGTGTTCCCTTTCTTCTTTTTTTCAGCATGGAATAAACCTATTACTTGTTCCTTTGCATGAATATATATATATACACTGTGTATTAGAAAAAAGGTTTTAGAATAAAAAATACTTGGATCAAACTTTGTTTTACAAGAAAGCTTATATTGCTGAAGTGTTTAGATTTATATTGGAATTCATTAGTGTTCTGCAAAACATAGAATTCGTTATTCCATAGCTTATGTTGTTGTTGCCGTTCCTGGAACGTCTTGCTGTTAATGCGGTCTTTCAGTCTGGGGTGTCTGACCACGTGTTCTCCCTCTTTCCCACGCTGCAGGCTGAGGCGCATTGACGCCGTGGCCTCCGTCCTCTGGCTCCTGGTGATGGGCGTGCACGTGCTGGAGCGCTACCTCGAGACCGGCGCCCCCCGCTGGCTGGACGCGGTCAAGCTCGGCACCACCTCCCTTTGTTGCTTGGTGGGGTTCGCTGCCGCCGTGGCCACCCGCAAGTCCAGCGGCCAGAGAAGGAGCCGAGCGCGCAGGTCAGAATCTGAGCAGTGACCCTGCCGCGGGTTGTTAAAACGCACCCCCCCGAGGGCCCTAGGCGCTCTCGTGTGGGTGCTGAGATCTCTGGTGCCCAGCTGTGGACACGGGCCGCCTCTCATCTCTCCTCCTTCCTCCTGCTGTTCTTTTAACGAATTACCTCCGTCCCTCCACCCCGTTGTCCTTCAGAAACTCCTTCTTTTTGAATGCCGGAGACTCGGGACGAAAAACGACTTTGCCTCGGCATCCGAAACCTTTCGCGCTGTGCCATCCATTCGTTTCTACCAAAACGGCGGCCTCCTGCAGATTTTTGTTTCTTTCACGTTGTAAACGAACAAAAAAAACATTCTCGGCATTCAAAAGCCATTCATTCGCATTCTTGCTTTTCAAAGGGCTTGCATTGTGTTTTGTGTCTCTGATAAAGTGCTTTAGAAGTGACTTGCGAAACCCAGTTCCTCACCCTCTTGTCTCCTTGCTCTGTCCCCTCACAACGAGAGTAGTAAGCTGTGCTCTGAAACGAGGTGCCCAGCCGACTTTGGCACTCAGAGTAGAAAATATTTAGATTTTGGTTGAACCCGCCAATAGAGCAGCTCTTGCACCTTTTAAAACAAAAACAAATGAGTCCTGTGAAAATTCTTGGTGGTGATAAATGTCTTTTTAAAGGACAGGGTTTTAGTTGTTTTTTTTTTGCACTGTCCCTGTTTTATTTCCCTAGCAATATGAATGACATGTTAAGATTGCTTTTTCTAAGCGTAAAGCTGTGATTGGGCGTTGAGGGATTCAAAGGCACATCTGAATTGTAAGGTCTGTCCATGAAGTCTTCACACAGTGGTGTGCCAAGCAGCAGATATGAGCTTGCTTGTTGATTTACCTCTCTGTCAAATGTCCTGCTGGTAAAATGACAGATATTACAATTTTGTCTGATCCTTTTCTCCAAAGCTATGTAAAAATTCTATACCAAATGCAAATTAGGAAACAGTGTAACACAAACAGTACACAAATAGGATAGGATTCCCCGAAGTATCGTGTGGTGTTGAGCACTGCTTTCCTTTAAAACTGCTTCTAAGAATTGTCCTTTTATCGTTCGCTGGATGTCGTACAAATGTTCCAGGACCCAGAGTTAGAGGAGTCAGTACTGGAGAGGTGCATGCGTTGAGTGGAAAACACTTTCTGGCACTTCACTGATATGCTGTAGAAGTAATATAAATGTGTGCACTCTTGACCTCGCGTCACGCTTAAAATCCACGCGTTCCAGGTGTGTCTGAGCCTCGGCCTGTTTTTCATCGCAACGGGGCACTTTCCAGTCGCTGTCTTTACTGAAGAGCAGAAATGAAATTGATCGCCCGTCCGGCATTGTGTTCTTTTCCCCATTCCGTCCGCGGGACGAGCCGCAGGTCACTCGCTGCACAACCGTTTGTGGCGGAAGACGGATCCGTCAGTATCGTCCAACAAAACGCAGACCGACCGCGTTTAGCTGGCACAACGTTTAAAAATAGTTTTCTCTAGCAGCTCTCGATGACCCGTTTGCCCCTTAGGGTTGTATCCTAGCGTGTGCTCGTAGCACGATAAGAGTGCAGCACTAATTCAAGTCAATAACTTCCCTAATATTTTATTTAAAATATAGTCTAGGTATTTTTCAGGGTGCAAACGTGGGTGTTTATAGCAATGGAGTCTCACTCAGATTTGTATTCCATGTACAGCCTGTTGTTAAAGTGTGGTTTCGTTTTTTTTTCTGGAAGGAATCCGAGCCTTGAGAATGCCGTAACCGGTAGGTGTTTTGAACGCCCTTGCTGTAAAAGGTGGAATGTTCTGAACCCTTATCTTCTCTCACATCCCCAGTGTTGTGTTTTGCTAATGGAGTGTGCAGAGTGAGAATCCTGCAGGCTCCTTCAACGTGACGCTTTCAGTGAATTTCGTCCAATTGTGGGGGGAATCCTTTTATTTTCTCAGACGTCTTCACCTCTTTCTTGAAAACGGATCTGGAGTTTGAGGAGAACTTTTCATATCTGTTCTCTCGATAAAGTCACTGCTTTCATAGCAGGGAATAAGTCCGTTCTCTGACTGCTGCCCCTTAGAGAGTCAGAGGGTTCTGACGGATTGGATTAAATTGTAAAAGCATTTTCCTTTTTTTAACAAGCTGGGCTGTTGTTTGAAGCCAGCAAAATAGGGGATCTTTCTACTGGTCTCCGTTTAAATTTAATTTTCACTTTTTGGGCGTCATGAGCATTATTCTGTTATTATGCCAGTTTCATAAAAATACAAGGATTTTGAAACGAGGATTTGCTCCATTGATAATCATGGCTTTTGGACGTGTCCCTATTTTACTGTTTGTTCTCCATCAGTGACGAAATCTGCTGGCTTATAAGTCAACCTGTTAAGAGAGCTGTTTTCTCCTTTTGGAGAAAGCAGTGAAAAATGAGTTATTTTTGCATTCATGTGTTTAGCTGGAAGTGACATCCACCCTGGGTTACTTGGAAGCTGGGGATGGTTAGACAGATGTGTGGTTATTTTAATTGCCAAGTATTTTGGGTGCTGCTTCCAACTGCTGTATAAGAACAAAATTGGAAGAGCTGGATGTTTTGGTTAGTAAACAAGGAAAATAGTCACTTAATCCATACTTCTGGTCTGTTGGTTAAATACAGTGCAGTAGTTCCCAGTGGATATCTGATGAGCAGGGACTGGCCAGATGTGAGCTTGATCGTCATTTGTTGTTTTGGTAAGGTTCTGCGGCTTTCGTAGAAGTGTAGGTGTGCTGAGCTGATCACAGAGGTTAAGATGCGGTCAACACGCTTCTGTTTCGGGATTTGATGTGCACCGTTTGCTGCACTAGGATGGAAAGCCTTGTCGCTTGGATTCCAGGCCAGTACAGGGTCTGAACCTTCCAGGAAGTGAATTACTGACTTGTTCCTTAATTGCTTAATCAACCCAGGGCCCAGGGTTTGTATATGCATGCTGGTTAGGCTTTAATTGCACTTTAGAATCTCCCACACGTCTCTTTTACTCTTTGCATGGCTGGCTGCTGCAACTAATCCCTGACCTTTTATTTTACTGTTCTGACTGTGTGCACTTGGTGTTTTTGCAATTGCAACAAAGCCAGAGTTTTGCCAAGGGTACTTATTCCTGTTTTTTTTTGTCAATTCATGACTAACATGCAAGGGACAAAGAGTCTGAGAACCTGCATGTTTTTTTTTAAACTCGATATCAAGGAGAGAAGCCGTTTGTAAAAACCCAGTTTTGCCGTTTGGCCCCATCATGTGGTCCTGCATAAAAGTCTGTCAATGTGTTTTCAGTTGACTCTGCAAATTCCATAACGTTTTGTATGAGAGTGATGGTAGAATAGGAAAGAATAGTGAGTAAATACACTACCAGTCCTGAACTCGGAATGATCCGTAACATGGACTACTGGAATCTTGCCAAGGCAGGATTTTGAGTTTAAAGCTAATTTACTTTCTTGGACTAGCCTACCTTAAATTGCATTTATTTATTGCCTTCAAATACTGTGAAGTGTAACATTTGTTAATCATTTACTAGGCTTGTGCTATATGTATTATTGTGTTTTACCGATATATATTATTTTGTATTTATGCAGTGTTTTTGAAACTATTTACTCCAGTGAATGACAACAATAGTGATGTGAATGATGAACTACAGTTTGATTTTTTCTGATAACAGGTATTGTACGGTGTGTGTTGAGGGAGTCCTGTGTTCTCTCTAGCCTCACTCAGAAGCGTGTTTTTCTGCGTTGCATGATTAGGAGTGTGATTTTTAGAGGACTTTCCCTCTTCTCGACAAAGGGCTACACATGCTGTAGCTCTGATTATTTCAAGCGTTCTGCTTAGCACTGCATGGGCCTGATATTCACAGAAATGTTCTCAGGACCTTTTCTCTTCAGAGTAAATCAGACAAAGTGAAGTATAGTAAACATTGCTAAACCTAATGTGTATCAGTATTTTACAATCTATTCTTTCTCTTTTGTTTGAGATTGCCAGTGAATTTCAATTATGTGTAACTGAAAGGTTGCATCAGGTATTTTAACGAAATCCTGTTGCAACAGTTAGTTGAAGGGTTTTTTGAGTTACATGTACACAAATAAGCATGTCGCTGAACACTGTCAGAATTTGCATAAACAAAACTCAAAGCTCCAAAATCTGCACTATTTTAGCCAGTCATTCCAGCTCCTTGTTCTTCCGCGTGACGCTCAGTACTGGTCTGTTGTTCACTGCTCAAGAACGTTCAAGCGAAGATGGGTCAATGCAGTGCTGCCAACCTCATGGTAGCTGAGTCTAGAGAGAACACTAGAGAGGCTTTTCTTCACTTCACTGAATTGTCTTTGAATTTATAATAGAATAGCTCACATAAGGAGATGCTGAGCTTTTTTTAATCCAAAACGGAAATGTAGCCAAAAGATTTTGTACAATAACATACAATAACACTATGGGCATAGTTTATGTAGGGTGGAGGACTACCTCTGATGTGGTGCTAGGGGGCGATGTTCATTAGGTAACTACATGCTTTAACAGGACAAAAAGAGCCACCAGTCTTGAAGGTGCCGTGACCCTTACTAATAAACAGTGCCACCTAGTGGCAGTCCAGAGTTAGTCCTCCACCCTGCCTGTACTGGAGGACTGGATTCCTGCTGGTTGTCGAGAGAAACAAAGGGGGAGATCTGACTACGTTTACAAGTAATTATCCCAGTTAAGGAATTAACATCAGGGTTGGAATAAAAGCCAGAAAACCTCCAGAGAATATAGGAGCGGAATCAGTCTTCCCCAATTTAAACATTTTTTTTGTATCCGTTATTAGGTTTGTGTAATCATTTTTTGTTAACATTATCATAACTGTACTATTTATTATGTATAATTGTTCAATTTTAACTACAAATATAGTGTTCTGGGTTTTTGGTGTTTATTTCAGAGCGACATATCTCCCTCTGAAAGACACTTGGCAGCTATTGCATCTTCACTACGTTGTAAAACGTACTCATTGCCCTCTATCGTGTTTAGCATCATTAAGCAGATTGGTCAAATATTCTGATTTTGGTCGTGGTACAGCACATCCCCATCGTTCCTAAAACACGGGAGGCATGTCTTTTTCAGCAGCCGATATAGACTGCGTCCGTTCCAGGATGCCAGAGAGGCCCTGGGGTTAGTAAGCAGCTCCTGCCCGAGGCTCTGCTGGAGGGATTGATGAGGCCGAGCACTCAGCACCTCAGGACTTCTCACGTTATTAGCACGTTTTTTGTTTTTTACCTGGAAAATCACGTCTTCCAATAGTAAATTTAAACAGATGCTGCACAACAATGAGCACCTATTACTCGGAACACTATCAGAACAGTCCAGTATTCACTGATGAGGAATATTCACTGTATTATGAATACAGTACAATTAGACTGTACTGTGCTGAGGTCTGCCTGTATTTTACACCACTTCTCTGTACAGTGAACACTTTTTATGGGCACAGATTACATCACAAAACACTGCTAATTAACCATAGTTTAATCTGTACTATTCAGTTAAACCTTGGAATGAACTTATTAGAAAATATATGGTGTTCAGATAGAATTAGTTTTTGTTACATTGTGTCATGGGGATCCAGTCGTGTTGCGACTCATTGTTTGAACATGAGATGGATGGTGTTGACTTCAGAATACAGTAGTGTTATAGGTGTTGACATCTCGCTAAGAAGAACAAAACAAAAATGAGAACATACAGTGTCTTAGAACTGAAGTAGATTAAAATAAATATTAATATAACTTAAATATAAATTTGTCGTGCCTATACTTGCAGAATTACTGGGAGAACATTTCAGGTCCCTAGTGATGCACTGTTCATAACTATGTGTATTTTGAAAGGATCCATCTCTTACCCCAGAATCAAAAAAGCTAATAAATGTTCTTTCTTAAAGTTGATTTACCTTGGAATGTGGGAGAAATTGAATGAATGGCACTTAGCTACAGGCTACTCAACATTTAATCGTGACAATAGTTAATGATAATTGGAATCATTGGAATAAAAAATGTACCAATGAAATTGCGTTTAATAGATGGAAAAATAACTTTATATTGAAATGTAGAGTTAAGTGAATATAACATACTTACAAACACAATGAAATATTTTCATTGTAAAGCTCCATTGCATTAAATTTTCCTGAGCTTGTCTGTATTTTTTTAAATTTGATATTCTACAGAAAGTGCACACATGTTTTTAAGTATTGCATCTTAAGATTGGTGTTTATTTTCTGATTTATTTTCTGAATAAATGCTCTGTATTTTGACATCTGCTATCTGGATCCCTTAAATAAACTACTGTGGAAAAGTATATCTGTTTTGTGTTTTAATAATTGTGCCTTGTAGGCTTGTTAGCCATGAAATCAGCCAATGGCATGCCCGGTTTTCTCCTTAAAGAAACTCTGGTTGGAACAGTTTTAGTTCCCAAGGTAAAAACAGTTGGTCAGAAACTCTTTATCTGCCCCACGAGCCATGATGAAATGAATTCCAGGGATTCCCAGTTTTATATCGAGGACTGAACTTTCCTTATTGTCGCGTAGTGCCCTAGAGTGACACAGGTGTCATTTTGAAAAACAATTGGATGTCGCTTGTATTGAAAAGGACTGGGGAAAGAAAGCGTTGTCACTAAACTTAGCTCCTGATTTTAACCACTCAGTTCAATTCATTGTATTCATCGATTCCCAACATTTTGCTTTAATTCAACTAAATAATCGCCAACATCTTTTTAAACGTTATTGTGCGTGCTAGTACAGTAAGTAATGCTTCCAGAGCCAATAGCCAAGTTCATCTGTGGCCTGCCAGTCCTTGTGTCTAATCCTAAGGCAAACTGCCTTGATGGCAAATGACAGTCTTTTTAAACCTTTCCTAAACTCATTTTGTAATGGGTTTTTTGGTGTTTTTTGTCTTCAGAGTTAAGGTGCTTATTTTCTCAAGCACAAGTACGAAAGCTCAGTGTGTGCCATTTGCTTGCCTGTGGTGGATCTTCCACTCATGCACCTTGTGCACTTGGGTCCCACGAGTGGTGAACGTGTGCGCAGTCCCACTGCGGATTTGCTTAGCCCATGTGAAGACATATGTGTGTGTGAGGGGTAGCGGCACTGCAGAAGTTGGGGTTTTCATTGTGAGTTAAAGGATTCATTTAAACTTGCAAACAGGAAATGGCAGCTGGCATGGCTGTGCTTGGGAGTTCTGGAAGGGAGCTCCAAAGGGCTCGCCTCAGCGAAAGATGCCAATCAGCCGTTACATTGAGATCACCGTAACGCTGCATTGTGGCTCCCTGAGTTCACTCCCAGTGCACTGCCAGTCTACTGTGTGCTAACTGACAGCTGCATATATTCACCCAGTATTCCCTGTGATTTCAGAGCTTCTGCAAAAAAGGCTGTTGCCTTAAGCCTGGTACGTGATTCATAGTGTTTTTGCCGAAACGCAGGGTTCACTTAGGCTTGAATAGCCTGTGAGAAAAGGCGTTTTAATGTAGTATTGACGTTCATACAAGCGTGTCTGCACATTTAAAGGTAACAGCGTTCATCAAAGCCACCCGCGTAGCCTGGGTTCCTCTCTTTTTTGTGGGAGTGCTTTATAACAAGGCAGTGCCGTTTTGTGACCGTATCTAGCGTTGGTCCAGGAGGGATGCCGTTTCCTCGCATCGCCAGGCTGCGCCCAGTTGTGCATTAGCCCAGATCCGTTTGCAATGCCACACGCTGGGACTGGCCTCCCGCCCAGGGCGTAGCCTGCCTTGTGCCCGTTGCTTGCTGGTATAGGCTGCGGCTCCCCTGCAGCCCTGAAGTGGAAGAAACCATGAGAAACCGGGTGGGTAAATGGAAGAACGGCCGTACCTTTCAGAAATAACTGCATTGCGTCAGGCATTGCCTTTTGGTTTTAAATGTGCTTGCTAACTTCTCCCTGAAGGGGGTGGAGGTGCTGGATTGATTTGAAGTGGTCCTCATGCCTGCACAGTTTCGGTGCTGCACAAATGTGTTTTTGTATTCTGCCAGCAGAGGGCAAGCTGGAGTTTTCTTCAGTTCCTCCTGTTCGCTTCCTCGAGCCATTTTCTCCCTTTTAAATCCTTAAACTGAAATCTCATTGCATGTTGGCCAAAAGCTAGGTTATAACTGCGCACGCAGCAGATTGCACACAATAGATACTTACCAAATTTTTTTTTTTTTACTTTTATGCAGATGTTGAAATTAATTTATTAAAAAATCATTTATCAACATTTCTTTAAAAACTTCATTTCAAATTCCTAAGAAAGATTAAGTGAATAATGGAAAGATTTTATCTGGTGGTAGGTTTCAAGTGTATGTGCAGTCTCATTTCTAAGATTATTTTCGCGCATGCAGTACTTCCTTGAATACTGAACTTCCTGCTTTATAGAAAAAGAAACTTGGAGTTCCGTGTTATTCCAAACCGCAGTCCCCGGTTAATCTCCAGTTGTTAGTCAGCTTTGCCCACTGAGGCACTGATTCCACTGAGGTGCAGCCCCACTGCACCGCAGCTCAGGAGGAGTAAGAAACTGCTTCTCCAGTGGCCTTAACGAGACAGTGGGTCAATACCCCTGCTCTGTTGAAAAGGGCTGTGGCATGTTTGTGGTTTCATTTATCAGAAGGATGGCGCCTCGTACATCTCATTGTCCCCAGTCACTATCCTGCGGTATTGGATTGGAGAATCTGATTGAGAGCGAAGAGCGCCTCCTACTGGTCCACCGACACCCCGGTGGTAACGTCTCTGCCATGCATGCAGCAGTCCCCCAGCCTCCCCGCTTTGCGCCCATGGGCAACGCGAGGGGCCGTTGCACCCTTCACTGGTTGAACACGGAGCTGCCGGGACCCCAGGGCGATATACACCAGCGCTTGTGGAGCCCCAGCCCGCCGCTGTGCTGTGGGCACGGGGATGTGCAAGAGGAGACTGCTGTGCAGCTGGACCTGCGCGCTGAGCAAACCTCCCCAGAGCCCCTGCGAGTTCTGCTGGTCAGCAGGTTCACTGATGCTTGAGAACAGCCCTGCGGAAAATTCACACGATTAAGAGGAGACGGCCCGCATGTTTATAAGGACTTCGTTTTCTCAGTGTGTACGAGTGTAATTTGCGCACACTTAGTGTACACTTGAAGTGTCACTGCATTGCCACAAGTAACACTTGACTAGTTTAAGATCTGTTTTATTGATGATGTAACACTGGCAATGAGCCTATAAATGTGAAACGTCTCGTTCCTGACTGTAAGCACTAGCGCGTTTGTGGATACATTTCTTGGAAGTGTCAGTGCTGCTGTTCTTAGTTTCACTTTAACGCTGAGGCAAGCTCCAGCTGCATGCTTGCTGCTCTCCTGAGAAATGAAAGGGAATGCTCTTTAAAGTTGCCTTTGTTCAGGTTGTTTTTGTTTTTGAGGAGGGCTGTTGGTGCCATAAGTGAGTTGGGGGGGGAGAAAGCAGTTTAAAACAAGATAAATAATGGTGAAGTAGGTCTTTCCGTTGTGGTTTTTCCCTGGGGTGGGATGGCGTGGTACAACGTTCAAGGTTTTGTAGGAGGAGTCTGCAGCTGGATGATGGTTGTCCTGCTGCTGATAGCTGTCAAAGACAGAGGCATCCAACGCCAGGACAGGAGGGCCGCTGCCCAGCATGTTTTAGTAGGTCTCGCGTCACCCAGGGGGCCAAGAAAAGCTGTTAAACTGCTGCACTTCAGCTAGTTGGTAATTCATTTGGCTCGGGAAGCGCAGAGCTCAAATTTAAACCTGCGGACACAGCAGCCCCCCCAGTCCAGCACTGCAGTGGGGCTCCCCTGTTCTCATGTGTGCCACACCTTTAAAGACACAGCAGGCTCCAATCTGCTCTCCCCCCACAGGTACCTGTCTGGTGGATCAGTTCACCCCCTCTACGGCGGTGATGCCAGCCTGCTTTCTCCAGCGCTCTCGGGCTCCTCGGCGTTCGTCCCCACACCCCCCCCAAACCTGTCCCGGCTCATCAGCCACCAGCTCGCCCACCGAGCCCGCAGGCCGTCCCCTTCCTCTCTGCCGGGCCGCCTGAATCGAGCCCTGTCCCTGGGCACCATCCCCTCCCTCACTAGGACAGGTGAGTACACTGCTCTTGCGCCCATCTCCTTTCCCTGTTCTTAACCACGCCGCTGAGTTGACATTCAATGGTGTACGAGGTTTGCTCGCAGCCTGCTGGTGTCCTTTTGCTTAACCGGGTCGCTCGCTGCGCGGTGCACAAGCCCAGCCTGCCAGGCGCGGCGATCCTTCGTTCTTTTTCTCGGATGTTTTATCAAAGTTTGCTGGACTCGGGATGTGTGGCTATGCCACTAGCATGTCTTCGGCGTACCCCCAATTGTTAGGAAGCAGAAAGGCTTCCTGAGAAATACACAGCTCTTCCGGTTCAGTGCAGCTGTTTCGGTTTGTGTAGTGGTTTCATTGCTTGTTACACAAACACAGTTCTTTTAAAAGCTGGTTGCTTAGTTGGGCGTTATCGTGGTTGTTTGGATGATGATGTAAGGTTAGTTTGTTAGTATGTCTAGTGTTCTTGTCCACAGTCTTGCCACATTTAGATGCATGTAGGTTCTTCACCTTTTTGGGAGTATCCAGCAGTATCACAAAATGAAAAACATCCTTGTTTATTGAGACTTTGTACCAGTGTGGGCTCTAGGAGGTGGGTGAGGCCATTTGATTGACACCTGCTGAACAGCTGTATTGTGAAAAGTGGCTTTCGAAGTCTGCAAATTATAGATTGCGCTGACGGTGCGTTAAGTTAACGTGACGGAGAAAAATTACTGGAAATTTTGCAGTTCTGTAGAAGACGGCGATTGATTGTTGTTAAGTGTTTGGAAAGGTTGTGCGGTGTGATTCCAGTTCAAGCACGTCAAGACCAACAGAAATACTGTATTGGCTTCTTGTTTTAGTGATTGCAGGGTTTATGAAACTGATTATAGGTTAATATGTATACTACATGATATTAGGTGCAGTTGCAAAACAAAGGTTTTACTGTGCAATGGAAAATTAATCAGTGTTAAAACTTGTAAATACTACAGTAAATAGAGATGTAAATAGAGATGTAATGCTGGGCATAGTGCTATTAGTTTCTCCTTTTTGTATTATTTAACTCATAAACTGGTTTTTGCAATTTTTGCATACAACCTACTGTTTTTTTTCCAATTTGTGTTCTGGATTTTTTTCTGCTGTGAACTCCATGAAGAAAATGAGATGGGATGAGGGTCTCTCTGGCTTACGTGCTCAAATTCAGTAGCTTTGTTTGGAAGAACGCTTGCATTTTCATCTAAGCATTTTGTCTTTGAAGCCCTGAATATAAATTGTCAAAGTGCGGCAAA